GACAACTCTATTTACTATCATAAACTGTAAAGTCTTCACTGTAATCATATATCTAGCTTTATATCGAACTGATTCCTGTCTTTGGGAAAAAGATTAGTTTGTTTAAATTAGGGGCCTCTCTTAAAAAGATATTGAGGACAGAAAAATCAAAAGTAATCTGCAGAGAAAGCTGAATACTCAGTGGCTTATAATCCAAATTCAAATGAAATTTGAAATGTTTTTACATTCTCGATAAACAGATTTTTTTGGCTTCCTTTTTTTATTCAGGAATCTGCCCAAGATTCAAATATTTTCAATTGAAAAGATTGTTTCAAGTTCCAATGTCCTTTCTGTGCCATTCTAGAAGAATAGTGATTAACTTGACAAATTGGGAGGACAAACTGGTCACTACCAAAAAAGTTTATATTGTCATATTGTCAATGAAAAAAAAAATTCTTGGGAAAACCTATATTTATTAAATGAATATATCTATTTTATAAATAATATAGATCAAAATAGCAACATCTGTTGATTTGTAAACCAACAGCAGGTATTGACAGTTTTGTTAGGAACTGTATGACTTGAGTTGAGGTGATCCAAAGCACTGGCATTGGATCAGATTACAGCATCTCCAATAAGAATATATATTTCTTAAATAAAATCATCTATCAATAAATTCTCACAATAATTTAAATGATGACTAACTATTCATTAAACAAGATGATACTTTATATGCTTCCTGAAATTGTTTCACTTTACAGAGGGGTCTTGTCTAACTTTAAGAAGATGACCTTTAGTTCGACAGATATTCTTAACCACAAATTGGCAAAAACTGTGGACTAGTTGACATTTAGGTGGATGTGGCATTTAAAGAAAGGAGTAATCTTATTGAAACCACAAAAAAATCTCTGATGGTAAATGGAATTAAGTCAGGAGAAGGGAGGGAGCAGGTTAAGGTCAGCATCTACTCTACAGACTGTTTATTGCTTTCATGCCATTATGTTAATACAGACCGTGTGCTTGTTAGTTCCCAGTGGGATCTTTCTAACACCATCAAAAGCCTATTACCACTATCTGTCTCTTTGACACTCTGGTTCTCACCTCCACCACCTCACTTGTTTTGTCAGCTTCTGCCAGTTCTTTTAATCCCCTGTCGTTTTTATCAATGTGTTTTCTAACATGATCCATTAACAGAAGATATTTATGGTGTATTCAGAATAGCGAGAAAGAAAAATCTGTGTCACGATTCATGCCTTAGTTGAATATGTAGATGTTTTAGTATAAAGCTTATCTCTTTGAAATTTATCCAGCTTCTGTTTTGTTGTTCTCATCTAAGTAGTAGCAGTGTAATATCTTATCCCTATGAGCCAACCTCATCTGTGTCCTAGAATCTTGTGTTCTGCTATTCATAATCCCCCTCTCTATGTCATAACCTTTTAGTTTTCTTTTGTCAGAAACATCCTTTTTACTGGTGTCTATTAAAATGCAGTCGCAAGCGATTTACTCCACCAGATGTGATTTACAGAGTTGTTTTGTTTTCCTTTAAGTGTGTCTATGTGTGTGCAATATATCTTAACTAACAGTGAAAGATGTTTTGCACCTTCAGGTGATTGAAATAAAACCCCTCTCACATGGAAGATGAACAGCCTAAATAGGAAAGCTATAAAGTGATATAAATGTAAAATGTTTCTGCCTTTGGCTGTAAAAGCACAGTGCATGGACAGAGGCGAATGAAAATTTAGCAATCCTGATTCCCATCACGTTCTCTTGTGTAGCTCTGTCTGTCTTTCTGTCTCTTGTACCTGATTAAACAAGGAGCCAAGAGTACATCTGAGTCGAGTAGAGAGAAACAGAGAAGTCATGAAGCTATTATAATGTGTGCATCCCTCCTAGTGGTAAACAATTAGGAATTCTGCAATAGAGCTTCTAATAGTGGAGATTTCTAGATTGAATTGTAAATAAATGTCAGAACAACCAAGATATGCTATCTGCTGCTCATGTTGTTAAGTTCAATTTGGGAGATCCCAAAGCCAGAAGGGATATAACTTTCCTCCACAGAGTTTTTAATCTGCCCGAGGGGCTTCTCCTTAGGATATGTTCCCAGGAAACGACTTCAGCCACTTGACAGTCAGAACATAGAGAGAACAATGAATCTGTTTACCTCATCTTAAACCTCTATATGAAGAGCTCTGTGTGACATTGGAGATTAAAAAGTCATACGCAACCAGTGTCCCACTTCATCCTGGTCCAGGTAGCGGAGGCAGTAGTCTCAGTAGAGACTTCCAGACTTCCCTCTCTGTAGACACCTCTTCTAGCTCTGCTGGGGGAAGCAAGAGAAATTACCAGGCCAGCTGAGGAGAGCTATAGTCCCTCCAGTGTTTTCTGGGTCATCCTCTGGGTCATCCTCTCAGTGGAACGTGCCAGGAACACCTCCCGATGGAGGCGCCCAGGTGACATCCAAAAACAGATGTCTGAGACACCTCAGCTCACTGCTTTCAATGTTGAAGAGAAGTAGCTGTACACCGAGACCCTGCTCAATGAACAAGTTCCTCACCTTATCTCTAAGTGAGTGCACAGCCACCCTGTGGAGAGGGCTAATTTCAACAGCTTCCAAGATCTTCTTCTTTTGTTCATGATCCAGATTTCATGACCAAAGATAAGGGCTGGAATGTAGACCGACCAGTAAATCAAGAGCTTTGCCTTTTTTGCTCAGCTCTCTCTTCGTCATGACAGACCAGTGCAGTGTCTGGATTATAATAGGAGTTGCACCTATCCGTGTATCGATCTCCCATTCTATTCTCCCCTCAGTCATGAACAGGACCCCAAGATGCTTAAACCCCTCCAATTGAGGCAGGAACTCTCCTCCAACCTGAAGCGGACAAGCCACCATTTTCCGGTTAAGAAATATGGCCTCAGACTTGGGGGACCTGATCAGACATGGGCAATGTGGAGTCAACAAGTCATCTCCATGTCATGTATTTGTTCTACCCAGCCACTGAAGCAGGTGAGTCCAATCTTCACCGTGAATTAACCTGTGCAGAATGGACTCACCTGGTTAATTGGCTGGGTAGATTAAATACATGACATGGAGATGACTTGTTGACTCCACATTGCCCATGTCTGGACCTGATTCGCCTCCTGGCCGCTTCACAGTTGGCTGCGAACCGCCCCAGTGCTGCTGTAGGTCTTGTCAGGAGGGAGCCAGCAGAAACACTTCATCCGAAGAAATCCTGAAATAATACATTGGATTTTGGCTCACACATCACAAATGAAAATGAAATTCTCAAGGAGAGGGAACTCTAAGACTGAGGTTAGAGGAAGGAAGAATGATAGAAAGAAGTGCACTGATCAGAGGTGAATAGGGTTGGGAATTGATAAGATTTTCATGATTCTGATTCCCTTATCGATTCTGTGAAACGATTCGATTCCTTATTGAGTCTCTTATCGATTCTGTGAAACAATGAACTTGTAAAGTGCACTGTGACATTCGTCTACCTTCGCCTGGGACATTCTACAGTATTTCTGCCTGCCTTGGCAAAAGCAGAGGGCAGTGAACAGGAGCTGCCAGCCTCTGAGCCAACCAGGCTAACCGTCACCTCACAGTCATCTAAATCTAATGGAGAAGGCATCTGTTTAATGAAAAAGCATTACTGTACAATTTCGGGAAATAAACTCATCTCCCCCTGATTTAAATAGCGTCACCTTTCTCTCGCTCCCTGAACTGCGAAGCAACTTCGTAGCATGTTTAATAACCCCAAAGAGAGGAAGAAAATTGGTTTATTTCCAGAAATGGCATATGATTTACTAGGAACCACATTAAGCAAAGCCAGTGATATAAAACTAGCTACTTACTACCAGAGTTGCCTTCCATGCTGGTCGTAACTTTAGCTTCTGTCCAGAAGCATCAAAAACACAGCATTCGTTAAAATGTATGCCATGTTCTGTGCGCAGGTGTTTCTGCATGTTGGATGAATTTCCTCCCGCGGATGTAATTGTCACTTTGAAATGACTGCAAAGCAACTTGTTGCCATCTTTGTCTACCTTAAAATGAAGCCAAACTTTCTATCGCTTTACAAGATGGGACGTCATTTTTTTGTGTTTTGCTTTTCTAGACTTACGCCTGGTCACGTCATACTTGATTATTGAATGCCACGTGTGTAACTTGCGTAAAAGACGTGACGTTAGTCTTGCTGCCCAGTGCTAGGATCTGGTGCTGCCTGGAATCGAGAAGAGAATCATTAAGCGAGCTGCCAAACGGTGCCATGAAATTGTAACACACAGAACTGGTTCTGAACAGGAACCGGTTTTTGATTCCCATCCCTACAGGCGAAGGAGGCTACTGTAAAGCTAACTGTCGAAGAAATTAATGTAGTTAAGAAATACAATGCAGAGGAAATTGATGAAAGGAATCAGGAAGGGACAGAACCAGGGGATCCAAAATATCCAACTTGAGCAGCTGGCATGTGTTTGTTCTTGGTAAACAAAGTCCAGTTCAGATATACTAGACTTGGCTCTCTTTGTTAGATATTTTGCTGCCCCAGCACTGCAATAGTCTCATTGAACTATCCTGACAGTGATGGTTGAAATATATATTTAAATATAAAGTTCATCATCAGTAATATACATCCATAATTGGCTCTTGTAAACCTTGAGGGTTTAACTTAAAATCACGGTCTGGTAAAAACAATCTGTGACTTTTCTCACATCCTTCTGATTTCTGTTTATTAACGCTGATGCAAGCCAAATTAATTGGAGAGCTCAACACTTAGAGGTCAAAGTAGGGTCTCTGCTGAGAAACTTACAGTGAGGAAAAAAATAGGCTTTTATAAATTGGTTGATGCACCAAATCGAGAGGTACACTGAATTCTGAAATACTTGCACGTACAATAACTGTCCACTTTTAATTTTAAGATCTTGTTTTCCCTTTGACTTCATCCCACACAGATCATGTTTTTTTAAGCATAATTTTGCACAAACAATCAATTTCATATGTTTTTTTCTGTTTGTGTGCCTGTCCTCAGGATGACTTCCTCTACAGCGTGTCCATAGTGAGTGGTCTCAGTTGTGCTGTGCTGGCTGTGGCCAAGTTCATGTTGGGAAAAAAGCTGACCAGTCGGGCACTTACCACAGACGGTAGGAAGTCTGCATACTCTTATAAAAAACAGAGACAAACCAACCTTTAAATGAGTAAATTGATCAAAGATGATTTATTATCGTAGGACACATGGAAATGAACAAAACTAAAATATAAACAACATTTTAAACACAGAGAGAGTTTACCACCTGCTCATAAAGACATGCAGCGCCGAAGAAAATTGCAACACCAAAAGAAATGCTACTGTACGCTCTGCTGTCCCCAGGTCTCACTCTCTAACTTGCAGGGGCATCAATCCAATAAGCCTGAGGTTGCTGTTCTGTGAGCATGGGTTTATTTCCCACAAGACTACAGGTGCTGGTCATAAAATTAGAATATCATGAAAAAGTAGATTGATTTCAGTAATTCCATTTAAAAAGTGAAACTTGTATATTATATTCATACATTACATACAAACTCATATATTTCAGATGTTTATTTTGTTTAATTTTGATGATTACAAATGACAACAAATGAAAATCTCAAATTCATCATATCAGAAAATTAGAATATTGTGAAAAGGTTCAAAATTGATGGCCCCTGGTGCCTCACTCTAATCAGCTAATTAACTCAAACCACCTGCAAAAGCCTTTAAATTGTCTTTCAGTCTAGTTCTATAGGCTACACAATCATGGGGAAGACTGCTGACTTGACAGTTGTCCAAAAGACGACCATCGACACCTTGCACAAGGAGGGCAAGACACAAAAGGTCATCGCTAAAGAGGCTGGCTGTTCACAGAGCTCAGTGTCCAAGCACATTAATAGAGAGGCGAAGGGAAGGAAAAGATGTGGTCGAAAAAAGTGTACAAGCAAGAGAGATAACCGCACCCTGGAGAGGATTGTGAAACAAAACCCATTCAAAAATGTGGGGGAGATTCACAAAGAGTGGACTGCAGCTGGAGTGAGTGCTTCAAGAACCACCACACACAGACGTATGAAAGACATGGGTTTCTGCTGTCGCATTCCTTGTGTCAAGCCACTCTTGAACCACAGACAGCGTCAGAAGCGTCTTGCCTGGGCTAAAGAGAAACAGGACTGGACTGCTGGTGAGTGGTCCAAAGTCATGTTCTCTGATGAAAGTAAATTTTGCATTTCCTTTGGAAATCAAGGTCCCAGAGTCTGGAGGAAAAGAAGAGAGGCACTTCATCCACGTTGCTTGAAGTCCAGTGTAAAGTTTCCACAGTCAGTGATGGTTTGGGGTGCCATGTCATCTGCTGGTGTTGGTCCATTGTGTTTTCTGAGGTCCAGGGTCAACGCAGCCACATACCAGGAAGTTTTAGAGCACTTCATGCTTCCTGCAGCTGACCAACTTTTTGGAGATGCAGATTTCATTTTCCAACAGGACTTGGCACCTGCACACAGTGCCAAAGCTACCAGTACCTGGTTGAAGGACCATGGTATCCCTGTTCTTAATTGGCCAGCAAACTCTCCTGACCTTAACCCCATAGAAAATCTATGGGGTATTGTGAAGAAGAAGATGCAATACACCAGACCCAACAATTCAGAAGAGCTAAAAGCCACTATTAGAGCAACCTGGGCTATCATAACACCTGAGCAGTGCCACAGACTGATCGACTCCATGCCACGCCGCATTGCTGCAGTAATACAGGCCAAAGGAGGCCCAACTAAATACTGAGTGCTGTACATGCTCATACTTTTCATGTTCATACTTTTCAGTTGGCCAACATTTCTATAAATCCTTTGTTTTTATTGGTCTTCAGTAATATTCTAATTTTCTGATATGATGAATTTGAGATTTTCATTTGTTGTCATTTGTAATCATCAAAATTAAACAAAATAAACATCTGAAATATATGAGTTTGTATGTAATGTATGAATATAATATACAAGTTTCACTTTTTAAATGGAATTACTGAAATCAATCTACTTTTTCATGATATTCTAATTTTATGACCAGCACCTGTATAGTCTTACTGCAGGCAAGACAATAACCCACTGAGCTAGCTTCAACACTAGGGCACATGTAAATATATTTAGAAAATCATACATCATACAGAGTAAAAATACAGAATGTGATTGCAAAAAAAGGACTTTCATTAACATTTTTTTATCTTCCACATGCACATACAGCATGTCTGATTTACTAAGTCACCATGTATGTATAGTTGCACTTCTGCAGATAAATGTTTGACATTTAATGAACTTTGTAATTTTAGCTTTGTTGAATAAAATAATTTTAGTAGAGAACTTGATTCAGATACAGATCTATTTCCCAGTTTTGTAAACATTTACTGTGGATTTTTATTAATGTTACAAATATCAAATTTTCTGCTCTATCAGACACATTAAAAAGCCTTATATTTTTTCCCAAAACAAGAGTGTGCTTTATAATCCAGAGCACCTTTGTCAGGAGCCAAATGCAGAGACGAGGAGGCAGAGATGAGTTATTGTAGATTTAATTAATGAAGAAGGTAACAGAAGCAAAAATCCAAGGAAAATTGCAGGAAAAACCAGGAGACGTCAGGGGAAAACATACACATGAAGCAAAGCGATGACGAGAAACCAGCAATGAGGAACAGACTGGAGGTGTATATGGGGGACAGAACTAAGAGTGGGCTAATCAGCTGATAGGGAGCAGGTGTGGATAGAAGTAAAGAGAAGGGGGGTAGTGGAAAGGAAACTGGCATAATGGGACAACAGAGAGCAACACAAAAACACAACAATTTCAGTAAATCTTGGACAAACAGCCAGATGTAGATGAACATTATTAATGAAAATATCCAGAACTCCAACCATGGTTTGAAAAAGAAAGTTAGTCCGGTGGATTTATAATTTTGACACTGTTAATTTGGGGACATCCAAAATGAATTCAAAGTTTTTTGAACCAGGAAAATGCCAAAATTCACATGACACTCGTTAAACCATTATGTAAATGTACACCTCTGGTTGGTCACTGAATTTTTTTACTTGCAATTATTTAGATACATGTTTATAAAAATGAACCAACATTCCCATTTATACTGAACTCCTTGTGTGTTTTAGGGTTTAACTCTTTGGTTGGCGCTGTCATGGGATTCTCAATTCTTATCAGTGCTGAAGTCTTCAAACATCATGCTAATGTCTGGTTTCTGGATGGCACCATTGGAGTTTTAATCGGATTCATCATTCTGGCCTATGGAGTCAAGTAGGAGATTTTTATTTAACATTTATTGTTCAGTTTCTTGTTGAGTTTATTCCTTAGCTTAAATTGCCTCTAAGTAATTATACTATCTTCTCATTTTGAGTGCATTTTTGTCTTTTTGCACAGGCTCTTGAGAGACATGGTACCACGGGTCCGGCAGACAAGGAACTACGAACGTTTTGAATGAAAGAGTCCAATGCTAACCAGAATCCTGGATTAGAGACACCCATCCTCACAGACCTGGGTGCCTCTTGCCCTCTTCTCTGTCATCTTCCGTACACTCTAACATCCACAGAAAGCTTGTCCATTCACTGATACAGCAAACATCTCCAATACATACGTATATGTGAACATACACTTTTACTATAAAAAAAAAAAAAACTGTACATAGTACATTCAAATATTCAGTTATTCAAGTCTGAGAGACCTTGGGAGATGGAGACATTGTTGAACAGCATTTCAGCTGAGTCAAGTTTTTTCTTGTATAGCTCCTAATTGCACCAAGTTATAAATGACACCCTGGATGAGGAAGAGCCAAGATCATAAACAAATGTTCAATAAGTTTTTTGGACATTGATTTGGCTAAAAAAAAATTCACAAATTCTGATTTTTATGTTGTTGATAAATGGGAATAGGAGAAAGGTGGGTTTATCCGTGTATCTCATTAAAGAAGACATTCAATGGGCTTTTAAAAATATATATATTTAATTTTCCTCATATTCAGGCACCAGGCAACCCACCAATTTATTAACTTATTAATCTTTTTAAATGACCTGATGGTGAATAGCATTTTTAAATATTAAATGGAGGAATTGCATTGAAATAAGCCTTTTTTTAAATGTATTAATGTAAGACATTAAGAAGTTGATGCTATAACTTCTGAAGACATGAGGAATTCTGTTAGGTTTCTAAATTTTGATGGGAGGATTTGTCAAGCACAAATATTTGCCCTAAAATGGAGAAGGAGATTCTGCCAATGTTTAGGTATTTTGTACATCTAGATGTAATGCTCTTTGTAATATAATAAAGCACAGATTACTGAACCAGCTATATTACTTGTTGGCTTCTGCTTACAGTTAATCACAGTTAATGGGCTTTGAAAACACATATAGATTTTTTTTCTTATGTTGTCATGTTACAACAAATACATTTCAAAGTATAGATGTAAAGTTTATGTGATAAACACAGTGTATAATTGTGAAGTAGGCAGAGATGGATATGCCTTTCTCTAAAGAAAAAACATTGAAGTGTGGTATATAGATTTGTAATCATCCCTGATTAAATGCGTTTTAGAACCACATGTATTTACAAAAAGTCTTTGGATATGTGAATGTTTTGGCTATTCTTCTTTTTACAAAAGACAGTATATTAAATTAACCTTAATAATAAGCAGATGGTCTGATTTAGAGTTTTTGAGTGAAAGAAAAAAATTTAAGACAGCTGTTTATGTCAAAAAGCCGTACAGAAAAATCATTGTTTGTAGACATTTTTCCTCTAAGGTAAATAAACTGGAAACAAACGTTTTGATGTTCTCTAAAGCAAGCTGTGCTTCACTAATGGCTACAAAGGGTGTTTTAAAAGAACTTTTGTGGAATACTTTAACATTTCCCCACAACTGATAGTAATTAGGAAATCTATTAAGAAGCTCAGTTCATATTACATATTTGCAATAGAAAAGTGTTAAGCTTGTCTAAACTAATTTGTTTAAACATAAGCAGATTAAAAATTACCCCATTACATAATGGTGCTCCTGCATGGTATGGTTTATAGAATGTCCCAAACTACCAGGGTACAAAATTATGGAATGAACTCACCATAAACTCAAAGGTGGAGAGATGCAGTTAGGGTAATGTAATGTGGGTCTGTTCTATACGCCGATGGATTCTGAAGGTAACTGGTGTTACTGGATTTTATTGAAGGATGTAAGACTAGAGGGGGCCAAATATAAATTATAAATGCAGTTAAACAAAAAAATCATCAATAAAAAGATATTACATATATATATATATATATATATATATATATATATATATATATATATATATATATATATATATATATATATATATATATATATATATATATATATATATAGTATGTTTTGTTCTTTTACCTTTAAGGTTGGAACATGAAAAATAAGACAAGAAAATCCAGAGATATGACTACTGACCTCAACCAAATTTACCAGCTGTGCTGGTTTCTGCTTACTTGGAGTCCAGTGTCAATTTATGAATAATTTGGTACAATCTCAGAAGGCAATAAGGTTTAAAAAGGTGTGAACTTTTATATCATCCCCTATGTTGATGGGTTATTCTTGTATTAGAATACTGCACTGAACTTTTTTTATTGCTACTTGAAATCCAATTATTTTTTCAGTTGCCTGTTTTTTACTCACTGTAACAGCAGAGATGAAACTTGAGAAACTTCAGCACAACAACAAAGATCAATCAGCTTGTAGAAATGCAATGTTCTGTGTTCTCTATGTCTAATTTTATGTCTGTCAACCCTCTCTTCAGCCAATCCCCTCCACTGTTGTTATATTGTCTGTAGTACATGCAATGAACAGAATGTAAAAGCAAAGCAAATACTCTGTAAATATGTTTATTAAACTGTTTGGGAGTATAGAGCATATCGTATAAAGTGCAGACTGGTCATAGCTGCATATTGTTAAACATGTTTTCTTTGTAGCGTGAATATGCTGTAAATGATGTCTTGAGTTTTACTGTAGATTATTGGTGAAATGAATGACGAGTTTTACTGTAAGTTGCTGCACTGTGGGTGAACATTGCTGAATGGGTTGAGGCTTAATCTGACTGCACTGTCCAACAAAAATCTTTCATACAGCTGTTTTAAAGTCACTGATATTGACAAAGAAAATTTAATTATTTACTGTTCAAACAATCCTCACTCTTTAAATGCAAATATACATATTTATATTGAGCTATAAATGAAAATTTGGAGCAGTTTTGTCCTGAAATTAATTTTGAGCTCATTTAATGTGAAAAAGGTAATTTTTCATTTTAGGTGGTTCCTTTGCTCAATTCAAAAAGCATTGACTGCCCCCTTATGGTTATTCAAAATGTCACAATAATCCTATTCAAACCACTGAATCCCATGCTATCTAATATTTTCAGCTGAATACAGTTATAAAACCACAGCATCAATGCAGTTATGAACAGGCCTAAATCCACTATATGCAGTCAGCTCTGAGTTGATGTTATTAGTGACATGTAAAAATTATATTATCTTTAGTTCCACTGTGTAAAGAACATAAATAAGCTGCAAACTGAAGGTGTGAATCAGTTCACATCAGTTCAACTCACCAACAGCACACTGATTTGTAATGTCTCCCACATCCCTACTAACTGCATAGAAGACAATCTTTACAGTCGCTTCTCCAGGTCAAGCACAGGGTTTCTAGATGCTGAGGAAAACCCCACACTGCACAGGAAAAACACTCCCTGTAAATCTCAGCACCTCTGGAACCTACGATGCTAATCTATGATCCAAATATATATATATATAGTACTCTTTGTGGAGATATCTCATTGACTACAGTGAAAATATTGTACTGACTACATTGTACAATTTGTGCCGCTGGCTATTTGAGATATCATGGTGCAGTTTTAATCTAGAGTAAAGGGGGGCATGAACTTATGCTTATACCTGATCTATTTTGCTCATTTAGCAAGCCATTGTAAAAAAAAAAAAAAAGAAAAACAAATAAATAAAAAGATGATTAGAATGTTGGCACCAGAATCCCTTCTACCTCTCTTCTTTGTATATTGTGTTTTTTTATGCCACTTCATGTTGGATCATTCATCCTTTGATCCGTATTCATGTTAAAACAGAAACATAATGCTTATCAACTATTTTGTAACAACTTAATCCCTTTTATTTCTCTCTGAGATCTGAATCTTCTTTAAATTGCCAACATATCTGAACTAAAAAGAAAACATGTCAGTTGATCTTTATCTTGTTTATTTAGGCATGCTCTGTAAAAGTTTAGATCTTACATTTAACGATGCAGAAATAGAATATTCTTTCCATTGAGTTTCCTACTGTTTTAAAAGCAATACAAGCTCTTTTGCCATAGGCTTTGCATGGGGTGTTAGAAACCCTCAGGTGTCAGTGGTTACAAATGCTTTACAGCCACACATAAACACAAATGTATAAATTATTTTACAAAGAAAATGTGTAATGGATCATTTGTTAGTGTAATAATGACCTTGATGGTATTACAGAAGATGTGTACACTATTTATGTAAAAGAAAATGTAGGAAACATGCCTTTGTTAAGGAGAGTTTTACGATACCGAATAAAATAGTTTTATTTTTTTTTCCTGAATAATCATCAAAGCGCTGAGAGATGTGGACTTTTTTTGTAGATGCATAAAAATAATAAAACAGACTAATAAGGTAAAAATTGGGAACATCTATGACAACATGGGATTTTTAAAATTTGACAAGAATGAGCAAAGCATCTAATTAAACAGTTTCAGTAACAGTATCCTGTTTACGGTAGCTCCGAATCTCAATGTTAATTTATCGAAATTCACTAGCCCAACTCAGTTATGCCCAACTGGGCTCTTGCTGTCAATTTGCATGTATCAGTCTGTCTAAAACCTGATCAAAAACTCAACAGGACTTGAGGAAAAAAAAAATAACAAAAAAATTGTTTCGCAGCATTATCTCCAGTGCATACTGTAGTTGGGGTCAAAATGAACAACTAGCATTAATAGCTTAACATTTTTTAAATAAGTTTTTACAATCATTTGTTTCAACAGCTCTTACTCTGAACACACTGCGAAAACGGCACTTACTCAAAAAAGGTGCAAATTATGTCAGAATTATACATAGCCTATTGACCAATAGGTGATGTGATACAGTTGGTGCAAAAGGAAGTCTTAACTTCTGATTAGTGATCATGACTGATTGCACCCTTTTATATACTGAAGGCATCTACTTTTTAATTTATTTTAATGCATATTTAACCAAGAATGTGCTATTGAGATTACTAATCTCTTTTTCCAAGGAAGTTCAAGCCATCAAAGCAACACAGATTATTACAATTCAGTACATTACAATTTCATAATAATTTTAAAAGACTATTTAGAAACCATGGATCTCAACAAGAGTTTATGTGATAAGAGTTTAAAGTGGCCTATTGAAATCAGTTCCTTTAATTTCCAGTCTTTTTTGTAAATTGTTTCATGTTGTAGGGGCAGAATACTAACATACTATCTTGCCATTTTCTGTGCAGACATTTGTTGAAGATAGTAACAGTCCTTACCAATGTCTGGAAAAAAAACCCACCATCACTCATATATAGTGATGAGAAATCTGTTAAATGCTTCAGACGAGACCCAGTTTACATCAAGTTTAGCGTTGCCCATGTGGACAAGACAAATACTCCCTGGTTTCTACTTTCACAGCCAGTAGTAATGCTACATTTATCAAATTGAATAGAATAATAAAGTAGGACGACTACCACATTTTTTTAACTTGGCCTCAAATTCGTAGCTATATGATTCAAATTTTGACCTCAACCAGATGTAGAATGCTGCCAAAAATTAACAAAAAATATTTTAACAAAAAAATTTCAATAGTGGCTTCCCTTAAGTTCTGGCCTTAAGCTTATTAGAACATTTGTTAACTTTGATCAGTTTTTATTTTAATGTAAGAACCAGAGCACCACAAATGCTGCATTCATTTATCCCAAACATTCAACCTGAAATACCCCAGAAATGTGAGGCAAATCCGTGCAGCATGATGCAACCCAACTTCTACATTCAAGATGGATGCTACTTGCATCAACAGTAGTTAAACTTTCCTATTTTGACTGATTTTAGCAATTCTTATTGTAGCAATTCTCAGCATTAAACAAGTCATTGAGGTACTGTTTGTGTTAATAACACGGTGGGTTCCAAAGGTTTGCATAAGCCTAGAATTACATATAAGACTTTCTTTTTCATTGATATGGCTGAAGCAGTGGCTGTGGTGCACATGGAAAAAATAAGGATCAAATTGAAAATGAAACCCATCAAACAGTTACTAAATGAACACAACAAAATATTGTGTGTGTGTTGTTGAACTGATATGAATCCTTGCAAGCCTCTGGAGCTCACAGAGCAACATACTTAAACTAGTGTACCTTACTCTTTGTAAAAGAAAAAAAAAAGAAACTGAATTTTTGCCAGCTCTTTATTAAAGTGACCTTGTCACATACTATGATTTTGTGAATTTCTAGTAGCTCACTGGTTGCGTACAAAAGCTTTCCAATAAAATGATGGTGCCCTGCTGGCATTTAATATATTATGTGTTTTACACTTGGTTCTTGCACCATATGTTGGTAAAACTAAGCATTTACAGCATTTATAAGGCTGTGTGACCAGAGGTGCGCATGGGCAAAATGAGTAAACAAGGAATTATTGCAGCCATGCAAGTTATGTGTGTGTAAATTCTCAGTCATTTGGGTCATGGCAACCACAGAGCAAGCTCTAATCAGAGGCAAAACTCAGCTTTTCTTTATTTTGTCTTGACATCTATCCAGGAGTCTTGCACTAAATGCAAGTCATCATTTATCCAGCTGTGAGTGGGATAAGAAAGAGGAAATATATAAGACTAAGTGTGAAAAAGCTATAAAAAAAATAAAATAAAAAAATTGGATGCAGAGAGAGATAAGACACAAGTAGAACTTAGAATACACTATAAGTGTTGATGTTCATGCAAATAGCAAGCTGCCAAATTGAAGGCATGAGTAAAAACTGCCAGCAGATGGTGACAGCGTACAGCATGTCTGCTGATCACACACAATGGACAGATTGTCAATTTGGATACTGCAAATTGTAGCTTCTATCTAGTGCCTCTTCTTTCACCCTTCATAGGGTCAACAGTGAGAGCACCATTGTGGGTAGGAAAATATATTTTTCTTCTTTTATCTGTTACCCATCAAAAACTTTT